CTCTATCCCTCCCCTTCCCTCTCTATTCGTGTCTGCAGCGCAGCCAACGAGGCGGGCCAGTTGGGCTCCGTGCACTCGCCCCGTCAACAGCATCACGAGGCGCCTAGCGACACTCTTCTTCTCTTTCCAACTCTCCCCCCCTCCCTCCCTGTGTCTCCCCCCAGGGGAGCCAACGAGGACGGCCAGCTGGGCACGGGCGCGCTCACCCATTCAGCAGCGCTGCAGCTGGTGCCGGCGCTGGCAGGGGCGCCAGTGGTGCAGCTGGTGGGGGGGAGTAGAAACTCGCTCGCTCTCACTGACGACGGGCGGGTAAGCTGCGTGTATACTAAGGCATGGTAAGACGTGTTCACAGGGCAGAGTAGGTTGGAGCTGGCGCTGGCAGGAGTGTTGGTGGTGCAGCTAGTGGGGGGCAACAGAACTCGCTCGCTCTCACTGACGAGGGGCGGGTGAGCTGTGTGTGTCCATGGTAAGGAAGGAAGGTGCTCAGTCAAGTGGCAGGGGCGCCAGTGGTGCACCTGGTGGGGGGAAGTAGAAGCGCGCTTGCTCTCACTGACGATGGGCCGATAAGCCTGAATGGGGAGACTTGACTGCAACCAGCGCTTTGGACATGGTGGAATCGTGCTCAAATCCCACTTTCCCATCCCCGCGTCTTCCCCCCGCCCTCCTCTTCGTACTCAACCCACACTGCCGTCACACGCGCGCTCTCCCCTACATGCTGACGTTTGTCCACTAGGTGTGTGGGGATGGAAACAGCGCTTTAATTCCCTTGTTCTCTTATCCTTTTTCACCAGGTGTTCGTGTGGGGGTGGAATCAGCGCAGCACGTTGGGCCATCCGCCCGCACCCGCCGCCCCAAGAGAAGCCGTCCCCTGCCAGGTGCGTCTCTGCCCTGCCAGGTGCGTCGCTGCCCTGCCAGGTGCGTCTCTGCCCTGCCAGGTGCGTCTTTTCCCTGCCAGGTGCGTCTCTGCCCTGCCAGGTGCGTCTCTGCCCTGCCAGGTGCGTCTCTGCCCTGCCAGGTGCGCCTATGCCCTGCCAGGTGCCGAGCCCAGTACACCCTAAGCCGAAACCGGGTGACCCTAAGCTAGGTTCGTTTCCTCTCGTTCCTGCCCGGTGCCTCCCCTCCCTACCAAGCGCTTCACTTCTTAGCCAACTTGCTCTCAACACTTATCATTCCTCATGGCATTGCGCCATTCCGATTTCTCCTTAACTTGTGCCAACCACCCACCCACTGCGTCCTATCTGCCTGTGTCAAACTCCTCGCTTCTCCCTTCCCGTATGCAGGTGGAGGCTATTAAGGACGAGAAGATTGTGCAGGTGAGCTGACTCAGCACGCAGGTGAGCTGACGCAGCATGCGTGTGTGCTGACTCGGCATGCAGGTAAGCTGACTCACCTTTCACTAATTTCTTCTGACATTGTTACCTGCTATCCATGCTACTAATTTCTGCCCATATGTCTTTTGCTTCTGTTGACGTGGCAGGCAGCCATTGGAGGGTGGCATTGTCTAGCCTTAAACGAGAAGGGCACTGCTTTCTCCTGGGGTGAGCTTGCAGCAGGCACTCTCATATTTGCTGTGCCATGCAATGCACGCCCTGCACGCAATGCACGCCATGCCCTCACGCGAGGGTGTCTCTTCCCACGCTTCCTTTGCCCGGGGTCACTCTGGTACCACCATACCATACCATGGATGCCCGCATTGCTTTGCATGCTGCCAAGCTCCCAAGCTGGCACTCTGGAATCGGCATCCCATACTAAGCACCTTCTGAACCTGTCTGCTGGGACCTGCTGTTCACCCCAGCACAGCACGCCTTCCCTTCTCTCATGTTCCTTGCTTCCCTCTCGCTCAGGCGGCAACGAGTACGGGCAGTGTGCGGCCAAGGTGGCGAACTAGCTGATGCGGTTATCCTGTTACCGGCTTGCCCTCGTACCCTGTCACGCTGTTTCCCCCCGTGTCAGGCGGTAACGAGTACGGGCAGTGTGCTGCCAAGGTGGCGGACAAGCTGCAGGGCAACAAGCTGAGCGCCAGAGACATTCTCTCGCCCTTCCCATGCGTGCCACAGCTCAGAGTGAAGCAGGTGAGAGTGGAGCAGGTGAGAGTGGAGCAGGTCAGAGTGAAGCAGGTGAGAGTGAAGCAGGTGAGAGTGGAGCAGGTGAGAGTGGAGCAGGTGAGAGTGGAGCAGGTCAGAGTGAAGCAGGTGAGAGTGGAGCAGGTCAGAGTGAAGCAGGTGAGAGTGGAGCAGGTGAGAGTGGAGCAGGTCAGAGTGAAGCAGGTGAGAGTGGAGCAGGTGAGAGTGGAGCAGGTCTAAGCGTTGTCTTCCCATCCCCTGCGCATACTCTGTCGTGCCGTGGGTGTCCGTGTCCTCTCCTACACATCACTGCATGCCTGATGTTGTAGGTGATTTTTTAGAATTCTCAAGTCAGCGGTTTTTTAGAATTGTCAAGTGTGAGTCTGTGGAATTGTCTTCAGCCCCCTGGCGCGCATGTCGGAATGCGTGAATGCGTCCAGGCCCCCATCTCTGCACAACTCCACGCCTCTGCCCCTCCAGGTGGCAGCGGGAGGAACGCACTCAATGGTGCTAACAAGGGAGGGCGAGGTGTGGGTGTGGGGGCAGCCCTGGCCTCCTGCTGATGCGTGAGTTGATGACTGTACTGTGTGGCGGACACCATACTAGCATGCCTCTACGCGCAATAAACTTGCATGCGTGAGGAGGAGGTGTGGATGTGGTGGCCCCCCTCTCCCTCCTGATGTGTCATGTTGGATGTGTCTTTGGTGGTGTGTGGTATCTCATGTGTGATGTGTCTGTAATTTGTGATGTGTGATATGCGGTATGTGGTTTGTGACATGTGGTGTGTGATACGTCATATATGCTGCATGATATTTGATACATGATATATGATGTGTGACGTGTATGACATGTGATATATGATACATGATTTGTCACATGTTTTATGTAAATTTAATGTGTGATGAGCGACTAGTATGCAGCGCTTGCAAGTCTCCGTTTCCCGATGCGGATACAACCGTTGCTACCTTTCTAGCGATCTCACCACTGCCTCGCCTGTATTTACCTCTAACTCACTTCTGCCTAATGGACGTCTATTCTCTCCAGAAACTAGGCGTGTTTTCCTTGCCCTGCCTCACTCCTCCGCTTGCTCTGCTGCCCCTGCTATCCACCTGCGACTCACCTCACACCTCACCTATGGGTGCTGCACTCCCCTCTTCTTTCCCACTCCGCCTGCCACCCGCTCCACCAGCAAGCAGGTGTGGGTGCCGGCCAGAGTGCCCGGGCTCAAGGGAGTGAGGAGCATAGCGGTGGGGGCGTTTCACAACCTGGCGCTCAAGGCGGACGGCAGGGTGGTGGCGTGGGGCAACAACGAGTACGGCCAGCTGGGCACGGGGGACACCCAGCCGCGCTCGCTCCCCGTTGAATTGCCGCAACTCACCCATGCTGATGTGGTGCGTGCTGCATGTATGCCTGCTTATTGCATTACACAACCTAACATTGAAGGCAGACGGCAGGGTGGTAGCATGGGGCAGCAACGAGTATGGCCAGTTGGGCACAAGGGATCAATTGTATGCAGGCATCCAATCCTTGTGTCTCCTTTTAGTGCCTCTTGTCAGTCTTGCATGCGCCTATTCCCGTGCTCTCTCTCCTTCCTTATCCGCATCCCTCGCTCCTCGCGGCCTCAACGGTCCCCCTTCCACCCCCCTATGTTGTGTCGTGCTGCAACCACATGCATGAATCGACAACACATGGCATCATGTACCATGGGATGGCATGGCTTGTTATGACATGGCAGGTGGACATCACAGCAGGGGGGTGGCACTCCATGGCAGTCACTCGCTCTGGTCAGGTGATTGATCACCGATTGCATGTTGCAGCCACATTGCTGGACACATGTATCAGTTCAGGTTATCGGTGCTGTCACATGCAGCTGTCACATGCTGCTGTCACATGCTGCTGTCACATGCTGCTGTCACATGCTGCTGTCACGAGTGAGTCCACATCCCTTCCTACCTCCCCTGCCCCTCTCTCCTCCCCTCTGTTGCCTATGCCTTGTCACCCCTCGCCTCTCATCACCCATCATCACCCCTCACCATCCCTCCTGTGCAGGTGTGGGCATGGGGAAGAGGGGAGCACGGGCGCATGGGGTTTGGGGAGGATAAGACAATCAAGGCCGTACCAACGGTGGTGTCACTGCTGGCAGGGGAAACGGTGGTGCAGGCCTCGTGTGGCGGCACGCACTCGCTGGTCGTCACACTTGATGGGCGGATTTTCACTGTGAGTCAAGTGCATCACCAGGCTCCTTCCAGCCCTTGAAGCAACGCAGTCACAGTAGCCAACGCAGTCAGCTTGTCTCAGTCCACTCCCCATTGTCACCTTTTAAATACCACACACTTTAATCTCCCATCTTCCCAAACCTCTTATTCCAGTTTGGCAGAGTGGACGACGGCAGGCTCGGGCCAGCAGGCTCGGTAACAACAGGCGATCTTGTCAGAGTGCCTCTCCCAGGCGACCCCGATGCTACCTTCCATCCGGACGACCATCCGAACCTGTCCAGCAGGCTCGGCAGCATCAGCCGATCACTCAGCAGCTCCTCTGGGCAGCCCAGGTGCCGTTGGCGGGCGGCGTTTGCAGTCTGTGGTGGGCGGCATAATTTGGCAGTGTTGTGTCCGGAGGAGGATTTGAGAGAGGCGAGTGGCCACTTGCCGTGGCACAAGGCCCAGGCTGAGAGGGCAGGCGAGGTGCAGGTGCAAGTGGTGGGAGGGGTGGAGCAAGGGACAAATGGCAAGATAGGTGAGGCAACCAGGCAACAGGTTGGGAGCACAAGCAAGGGAGAGCGTGTGGAGGGTGCTGCTTCAACAGATGGATGAGTGGGTAGCTGTGCCAGTGTTCATAGAATACTGTACTACTGGCCCCCAAGGAATTCGTGAGGGGCCATATCAATACGATAGCTGCCAGCAGCACTCTAGTCTCTATTCATGAAAACGCTTTAAGAATCATCCACCACACAATCTACAGTGCAAGCACCATTTACCCTCATATCCTCTCTATAGAGTCTGTCTGCGGGCAGCAGGAAGGGCGGCATGAAGTGAGCAACCGGAATGGTACTGCTGGGTGAGTCCGTCTGCCAGACTGCCAGTGCATGCTGCACTAGCCATGCATTCTGTGCACCAGTAGATGCAGAATATCATCCACCACACACTCAACAGTGCGAGCAGCATGCAGCCTCACCATGTCCCCTTCATCCTCTCGCACGGCCAGCAGGGCCAGCTGGGACGGCAGCAGGGAAGGCGGCATGAAATGAGCACCGGAACAATACCGCTGGGAGAGTCTGTCTGCCAGCATGTGCTGCGGCACCTCTAGCAGAACGAAGAGTAGGCAAGGAGAGCACAGTGCGGCCTGCGATGTCGTGGTGCTGCCCCTCCAATGGTTGCTGCCCCCTGCATGATTGATTTCTCCGCTTTGGCATGCGTCTGATCTGCTGCTGCTTGTGGTACCCGCGCAGGTCTGGCCCCCTCTGTTGTTGAGTGCAGCGGAAGCCTCATCGCTGGTCTTGGTATCAATGTCAGAAAGATTCTCCGGTGCACCACACTCTGCACACTCTGCACGCCCTGCACGCCCTGCACACCCTGCACACCCTGCACGCCCTGCACCCCTCAATGCACACGCACACTCTTCACGTGCCTTACAGCCTTGCGTGTCCTGCCCTCTCCCCATTTCCTCTTCCCCTCCCCGTCCCCGCCCCCCTGCCTCCCCTTGCATCTCCCCAAACCGCAGCACGTCGCGGTACTCTGGCTTGAGGGCAGAGCACGCCAGAACCAGGGGGGGGTGAGATGGCGGAGACGCGTGGCCAGGGGAAGGTGAAGGGGGGTGACGGGAGGGAGAGGGAGGTGGAGGGGGAGGGGGAGGGGAGTGAGGCAGGGGGGAGCACGGTGCAGGCGGCAGCATCAGGGCCGTCTGCTGTGGTGCAGCGGGTGCCAGGGAGCAGGGCTGTGAAGGGGGGAGAGGGTGCGAGTGCGCGGGCCACAGCAGCGCGTGCAGGGAGAGCAGCCACGGCAGGCGGTCCGCGTCACACAGGGGCACGCCGCGAGCCATCTTGCCTGTGGGAGCAGAGGGGTGGGGGGAAGAGAGGCAGAGAGTGAATGTGATGGACGCGATTTGCGCAAGAGCGGGGAAAAGCGAGGCAGCCTATTTGAGACATCTTGTCGCAACGAAACAACATCTCATCTCAAGGCGGGAGAAGGCGGCTGCCGCGTGCCTTCCACCTGCCGCCGCGACAGCACCATCAGTCGCGCCCCTCTGGCATCACCGCACCTCCCACGGCTCCAGGCCCCACCCCTGGCTCCCTCTATTGTCCTGCGAGTCATTGCCTTCTCCACCTCCCCACCCACTTTTAATGCGCCAGGACAGGCGTTACGCTGCACGGGTCGTCGCCGTCGTGTGAACGTCAGCCGTTACAAGCCAGACCGGCTGTGCGAGCCGTACCTCGGTTGTCGCGCGAGTGGAAGTCATCGGCGTCGTAGAAGTCCCAACCCAACCGCTCCGCGAGGCGACGCCCTACGGTCCTGACAAGACAAGCGCAGTCAGCATTGGACGGAGAAAACAGCAGGGCGGTTTCAGTAGGCGTCGTGGACGTCCCAGCCCACCCTCCCCACGACCCGACATCCCCACTGTCCCGAGGACGAAAGGAAGGACAAGCAGCGTCGGAGAGGAGGAAAATCGAGGCTTCACGATGCTGATGTACATCACGTTGTCTCGGGCCTTCCCTACGCAGAGCGGCACACGCGCGACAAAGAGAGAGCGATGGCGGCGGTACCTCACGTTTTCCCCGAGCCGCTGGGACCGATGACGACGACCGCGGACAAGGCGGGGGAGGGACGAGACTCCGCCATAGTAGAAGCCGCGGTCGGGTTGCTTTGCTGCGCCGTGCGTGAGGGCGACAGGCGGAAGAAGTGCGCTTCATCGAAGTGCCTTTCATGCAGGGAGCAAATTGCTTCTTTCTTGCTCCCTCTCGCTCGCACTTGAGTCGCTGGTATCACCGATAATGTACCGTCTGTTATGAGTGGGAATGGAACAACCGACTCAGTAATGGAAAAAATAACCTATGAGTAATAATGAAACACATAGGGACTTGCCATGCCATTCGGGATAAGATCAACCCTAAACTCTCGAAACGCCCACGAATTTAGGTCTCATGCAATCCGGAATGGCATGCCAGGCCACTAAGGGTTTTAGTTTCTTCGGACTGCGTTTGTCGTTATTTTCGGTATATTTAACGACCCATCAATATAGACAACAGAGTGTAGGCAGTTCCACCAAGTCGCTGCATTTGCGTCCATGAGATCCGCAAAATTGGCGGTTTCGTTTGATAGTGCTCGGATGCGTCCAAAATTCACAGCGCACGAAGTACTGTGCAACTGCGACCAAAACGTGACTGCTGTTTACGAAAATTCAAAAGTACACCTTGAGCCTGACAGAGGAACACAACTTTTCAGGGTGCTGGTAGACAAAAACGAGCAGGGGTTTCGCACGGCATCGTCACGGGCATGTGGGCCTTTCGCACGGGCACGAAGGTTACCATTTTGATGTTTTGCGGGGTAGGTTTGAGTGGCATATTTTGGCGAGCCATTGTTCACTTAGTTACCCTGTGTTAAGTTTCGGCGCTTTCAAGCGAGAGTGAGTTTCTCTGGTGTAGCACTAGAGTGGTGGTTGGCGGGTGAGATGTTGAGTGAGTTTTTCTGGTTTGGTTTGCTCCCTTTTATACTCAGTGTCATGGGGTGAGGTTTTGGAGTCGCATTTCAGCTCCAAATGTAACGGGCGTGTTCTAACTATTTCTTACATTACGAATTAAAGGTTCGTGTCGCAAGAATAACTACTACGTGGATTGTGGGAATTTGTTTTCGAGTCTGTTCCTGGGTTGGCTGTCGGATGTTGAGAACGACCCCTGGCATCGGGACATCGCGACTCCATTTCGCTGCCAAGTCAGCGTTCGGTTTCATGCGGCGGCGTTCAAGCCACAAACAAACCCAGCGAGGCGTGTGTAATTTTGCGAGCTCAACGAAAGGCTCGCTGACCTTCGCCGGAGCGCTATTCCGAGCGCGGTTGGAAGTTTGTGGCGAAAACGGTTGCGGCGCACATCTTTCGTCTTGTGCCGCATGTTTGTCACCGCTGTCATGATGACGCTGTACTGCTGGCTCTGTTCACGGCCCACGTTGAGTGGGCCGTTGCCCGTGTGACAACGCTAGTGGGCGATGGTTTCTGATTGGGCCACGTATTGAGCTAGGCCTCCGGCGGGCACCATGTGTACATGGTACCCTTGTTGCCCGAGTCAGTCACTCCAGGTTTTTGGGCCGAAGGGACTGAAAACGCCACTTTCATTCCGCAGACCTCGCCACGGGCATATGGGACTGTAAGTGTTGCTCTTGGGTTACCCTCTTTGTCATACGCGAGATGGTGGGATGGCGGAAGGGGGCTACATTTGTTCGATTATCAACAGCCGGTACCCCCTTGATTTGCTTGTGATGTCTTCGAAATTCGTCAGAATCATAAAGCAGGGTAACACAGCCCACAAACCAACCTGTGGGTTTCTTGCGACTCCGCCATCGTTGATGCCTTATTTCGCACAAACTCCTGGCGAAGTAGTTGGAGGCGAGGCTGGACGGGCAAATGGGGTTTGTCACGGCAGGCAAGCTCATAATTGCCATTGTCTTGAATGGAAACAGTGCACACCATGTGCTTCAAAACGGGGTGCGGTTGCCCGTGCTAGAAACAGAAGTGGTGCGAGAAGCTTTTGTGAGAGAACCAAGATGTGACTGACTCGGGCAACAAGGGTACGTAAATTCCTGTGACAACGGGAATTGGAAACGCCACTCTCCAGAAGTGCGTTATTCCCTCCACAACCGTGCTTGGGCGAGAACCTCGGGACGTAAGGTGGCTCGGAAGGGTGGCGAGGTTGTTGGAACGCGAGTCGGGGATGTTTGGGCCGAAAATATTGGCCGAACCTGCAAGGTCAAGGACTTCGGGTGTACGTGCTGTAATTTAGCACAGTACGGAATTGTAATCCCTCACACCTTCGCGTTGGATTGCTAACTACTCGGGTAACAAGAGCAGCCCGTTTTGCAGCACTCCCCGTGTTACGCGCAGGGCCTCTGTAAGGAATTACAATTCCTTACTAGGGCTCGCCACAGGGAGTACACGCGAACAGTGCGTGTCCGCAGACTCGGCCCTTGGTTATCGCGCCAAACCAGCCCCCATCGACCTTTTCGGCCCCAACCTGATCCCGAGTCGCCCCGAACCCATTTTGACCCCGTCACCCTCGGACTATCGAGCCCTTGACTGGTCCAACCCTCGACATTCAACCTGGTCAACTCGCACTATATAAGCCCTAGTTTCCTTACAGTCAAAGTAATATCTCGTCTGTGGGGTCGGCGTATTGGCGGGCAGTCACATTGGCTTTTCGGATAAATTCAATTGCTTTCCTGCAGGCTGTTTGAAGGTCTTCGACGAACTGCTGCGAGTGAGCGACTTGGCTTTCAACGTTGGTGGAAATCGGCACTTTCGCATCCATCCGTAATTCAGGAAACAGGACAAATGATTGGTCGTGGCGGAGGGTGTGTTGTTGTAGGAAAAATCAAGCATGGGTAGTGAATCTTCTCATTTGCTGATATCCGGGCAGTTCGTGCGAATCAACTGCTCCAAGGGCTGATTCGTCCATTCTGTATGACCGTCGGTTTGCGGGTGATAGGCGGATGAGAATTGTAGGCGGGTGCCGTATCGGTTCCACGTGTCTTGCGAGATGCGCGAGATAAATTTCGGGTCTCTATCGCTGATGATCGCCAAAGGGATACCATGCAGGCGAAAGACGGCTAAGATGAACAGACACACGGTTTCTTCGGCTGTGGTCGTGCGAGATGGCGCGACGTGAGCCATTTTTGTGAGGCGGTCGACGACGACAAGGACCGCGTCGTTTCCACTGGGTCTGGCCTGCAAGCCGGTGACAAAATCCATTGTCACGTGTTGCCAAGGACATTGGGGTGGCTCGAGGGTCTGCAACAGTCTTGCTGACCGCTGGTGTGGTAGGTTGGACACGTGCTCACATACTTTTGCACGTCCGAAATCATGTCGGGCTAGTAATAAAGCCGCTACAGTGCCTTCACAGTCTTGTCAACCCCGGAATGTCCCGATAAGTTCGAATCGTGGACTTCTTGAATTAGTAATTCGCGAAGTAGGCGATTACTCGGAACCCAAATTCGTTCCGTTTCTGATTTTACGTAATAGGCTCCCCGTGCAGTCGTGACCTGCTGGTGGCCGTTGTTTATGAAAAAATGGATCGGTCGAATATCCGTGGGTAAATAGTACGCTCAGCAATGGGTTCATCTGGGCGATTAGTAAAGCGACGGTTTGGGCAGATGGTATGGAGAGAGCGTGAGCAATGTTGGCACCCTTCATTTTAATGATTCGATACGGGAAGTTCGCCGGCTCCCATCAGGTAGCATCGCCAGACCTTGAACGCTGGCACGATCAGCAATAATTCTTTGTCGTGTACGGGATAATTTCTGTCGGCCGAGTGTAACTTCGTGACTCGTACGTGATTGGCTGAAGGTCGTCTCCAAAATCCTGTAGCAGAACTTCTCCCATTGCGATTTCACTTGCCTCTGTCACGACCTCGAATGGTTGACCTGGGTCAGCAATCCGAAGTACTGGTGGCAAGATTAAGATATATTTTAATCCGCCAAACACAGCTTGTTGCTTCTCCCCCTATTGATAATCAGCGCCCTTATGAAGTAGGTCAGTTAGTGCCCCAGATAACCCCGCCATATTGGGGATAAACCAGCGCACATAATTGACGAATCCCAAAAACGATTGCAGCTCTTGGAGGTTGGTCGCCACCTTCCATTCCTGAATTGCCGGAATTTTGCGGGGGTCAATTTTCACGCCTTCCATCGATGCCCAAAAAACTCCACTTCGGATTTTAAAGACTCACACTTAGAGCCTTTAGTGATGAGACGATTCTGCTGTAGGCGCTGAAAAACCGCTTCCAGGTCCTTTATGTGCTGCTCCCGTATCATGCTGTAAATCGGGATGTCATCCAGATAAATGATCACACATTGTATCGAGTAGATCCCGGAATACCTCGTCCATCGTCAGCTGGAATGTCGAGGGGCCATTCGTTAACCCGAAGGGCATGAGAGTGTATTCATAACTCCCGTAGCAAGTTCGAAACGTGGTCTTGTGGCAATCGTCGGCGAAGACTCGAATCTGGTGGTAACCGCTGCGAAGGTCGACCTTCGAGAAATAGCGAGCGCCTCGCAATTGTTCAATCAGGTTGTCCGCACACGGGAATGGGTAGCGAGACTTTATCGTAACCTGATTAAGGGGGTGATAATCAATGCACATTCGGAGGCCCCCATCTTTCTTGGTTGTGAACAAGATCAGGGCGACGAACAGGGACTTACTCGGTCGAAAGAACCCTTTGGCCAGCAAATAATCCAGCTGGTCCCGTAGTTCCTGGAGCTCCGGCTGCGTCAGCCACCACTGTGTCCGGACAGTTGGCTGCGCGCCAGGTTCGAGTTTGATCCGATGGTCCTGAGGGCGTTCTGGTGGTAGGCCAGATGGCAGGCCGTCTGGAAAAATATATGGGAATTGACGAATCAATTTTGCTAGATCTTCGGGGTCCGCTGCGCAGAGCTTATCGACGTCGGCCGGTTGATCGCCGTCCATCAATTTCTTTAGATGGACGGCGTATAATTCCGCGTCTTTCTTGACCGCGCGTGTCCGTGTGATGGCGTTGGCGCGTATCGTTATCGGCTCTGCTCCTCGCCATTTTGGCAGTATCTAACGACCATTTGCACACTTGACTGTGCACTCGCTTGCCGTCCAATTGATATGCGGATTGTGTCACCGAAGCCAAAGTCATCCCAACAGCACATCGTAGCCGTCGAGTGTCATCGCCAACATTGGCGCGCTGAAACCGAATTGTCAC